CAAAGGAATGCCGCAGAAGTATTTGGGTTGGCTGTACGTAGAAGTATTTCGATCACTTTATCTGCATACTTCTGGTAATTGAAGGGTCTACTAACCAGGAGCGGTGTTCGTCAAGGGTGTTCAGTTTCACTATTCACACCTATGGCACCATTCCTGTTCAATTTCATCGTTTGTAAGATACTGGAAAATGTACTAAGTGGTCTCCACAATGTTGGTATTGAATGGACGGCTGGAGAAAGGTTGTGATTTAGAGTACGCTGACGACGTCGTTTGTCTGTTCGAAGTCTTGGATACGCAAAGCGCTCTTTATAGACTTTCAAGTTCTGTGATCCATTTGGCATGCGTTTTACACCTTCAAATTGATGCTACAAGGTTGGTTGTCGTCTACCCGGGCACTTGAGGGTAATAATCAGTTATGGTGGAATGTTTCTCCTACATATGTAGTTACTTGATGGATGACATTAGTGTAATCAAGGTAGTAGCCGCCTGCATTTCCAAGCCACGAGCAGCGTACACAGGGCTGAACCATCTTTGGTGCCGACATGATGTTTCGTTGAAACTGAAAGGTCGTGTATACTGTGCCAGTGTGCAGTTAGTTCTGTCTTACGGTTGCGGAACCCATAATTTGCGCGTGGAAGATATTCATCGTCTAGAATACAATACGACTGCCGATGTTGAAGTAGTTTGGCACGTGTTGGATGGAGCTAGCTTGTAAGCACCTCCGGGGTAAGCCGTCGCTTATTTGATAGTAATTCGGTGGAGAATTTGTCGTCACGTAGAATTTAGCTCCATAAGCTTCACTGTTTACGAGACATATTGCGCATACCCAGTCATCGTCTAACGTATCGCATCCTGTTTACAACTACCACTCCAGGTTGTTGGGAGTCATGGAAGTCAGCAAATGACCTGGAAACGAGGTGTGAGGAAATGCACAATGCGGTTGGGCAGAGTAGGTTGGGGTTTGAAAGACTGCAACTGGTTGGTTGGATACATCGAAGGATATGGCAGCTAACCGATAACGGCGGAGTTCTTGTTGTCATTTCTTATCAGGTCAGAATACTTGAAACGGTATGTATGCAGAATTCGATTGTGTACTGTGTGTGTTGACCATAGAGGTTCACTTTCTTTGCCTCCCTCCAATTAGAACCAATCCCTACCTATCTTGTAGTCTCTCACGTCGTGTATATACCGCTTGAAACGGTATACGTGCAGAGTTCGATTGTGCACTGTGTTGACCATGGTGGTCCACCTTCTCCCTCCCTCAAAATAGGTCCAATCC